GTTTCTCTGTGTAGTTTTGGTGCCTGTCCTGGATCTCGCTCTGTAGACCAGGCTGGCCTCGAACTCACAGAGATCCACCTGGCTCTGCCTCCCAAGTCTGGGATTAAAGGCATGTGCCACTGCCACCTGGTTTATAATACCCTTCTTAAATCAATCACACACCCCAGATATTTGTTAATAGCAACAACCGGACGAAGATGACTTACCTGTCTCGCTTCCAATCAAAGGCTGATTTGCAAAGTGCTTGACAAAATCCTTTAAAGTTGAATATTCATTGAAGCCAAATTTAAATGAATACCCAGTGTATTCGACGTGAAAGTGTTTGACAGAGTCTTTGGCTCTGAAAGAAAAAAAAGTGTTTAATGTTATTTAAGAAATGATGGTTCTTTTTGAAGGCAGATAGAGCAACGGGCTGGCATCACCATCAACCGATGAGAGTGTGGAACACACAGCCATCAAAATCACTGAGGGTTTAAGGCTATCACTCCTTTCTTTTGGCAGACAATGCTCTCAGCTTGTCACTCTCCCAGAAGGGATGAGACAGTTCCCCCATCTTCTCTTGGACCGACCACAAGGTTTCTTGAACATTAATGTTCGTAAAGGGTGTGGATTCAGGTAGAAGTGACAGAAATGATGTCTGTCCTTGGCACCCCTTGTCTGGGAGTCAGTCAGAAGTCTGCTTCCGTCAGTGAGTTATGTCCCCCGAGTCTTCTCTCCCCTTACCTGTGTGATTGTCTACTGGATAAAATGTCACCTTTCTAGGGCTGTCATTTTCAACGTTATTTTTTAAATGAAAAGTATTACATAAGATCTCTCTCCCCTCACTTTATTTGTCCCATTCTATCTCCCTAGCCTCACCTCCCACTGTGTCATCTACACCCCAACTTTACAACGCATCAGAGTCAACTGTAAGGTTCGTTAAAACCCCCAGACAAAGACTGAACATGTGGAAGGCAGGCCCTCCCTCAGAATGTAGGTCCTAAGGGGTTGTCAGTGGATGCTGCTGTCAGGGGAGCCAGCTTCAGGACCCCTGCCCATCAGGAGCTGCTGCTCTTCTAGGAGTTATTTCCCCCTTTGCTCCTGACCTCCAGTTATCCCTCTCACCTTCCCCTTGGTCTCCAATGGTAGAAACTCCCGCTGCCATTGAGTTTCTCACATTTTCCTGTAAATTACACTTTCTCACCCAGCATCCCATGATAATTCTGGCTCATATTGAGTGCAATTTTACTTCTCAATCACTCAAACACTTAGCCTGCCTTCTTTTATGCTATTACTGCCCTCTACTTTGTAGCAAGATTTGGAGCGTATGGGTGCTATGTGTCTGTACTTCTTGCCAACAAGGTCTTTGAACTAAGATGGCTGGTACAGAATGCATGATTCCAAACATCTGTTATTAAGGGAATGAACAAATAAATGAATAAAAAATAATCGTGCCTTTAAACAACTGGCCTGTGGATTCTGTCACCTCTGCTGGTAGTCCCCTCCCCACAAGTGTTACTAAGTATTTGTAGTGAAAACCAATGGTTTATATTTTAATTTTTCAGGAAGATGAAATAAATGCATGCAGTCTATCCAAGAATTATCAGATGAGTCACATCTGTGATCCAGTAATCCTACATGCTTATTTGAGATATCTGGGAGGAGCCGAAGTGCAGCACCCTCACATGCAGGCTACCTGTCTTACTCCCCCATTTGCTGTCGGTAAGAGAAAGCCAGGATCTTTCCCCACTGAAACAGCATTCCATCTTGGATTAGCAGTTTTGGCATCCCTATTCTTTATTCTTTTTCTTTGTGTAAATGTGCCCGTCTTCTCATGTGTGCCTAAGCACACATGTGCGCATGTTTGTGGAAGCCAGGGGTTAACCTCAGGTGTCATTTCTCACGAGTTTTCTACCTGGATTTTTTGAGGCAAGGACTCTCATTGAACCTGGGGTTAATGGATTCAGCAAGGCTGGCTGTGGCCAGTGAGCCCCAGGGGTACTTCCGGTGTCTTCCTCCCTAGTTCTGGGATCATAAGCACATACTAACATGCTCCGTTTTTACATGAGTGCTGGGAGTCTAACTCAGTTATTCTTTCTTGCATAGACTTAGCTATTACTGATGGAGCTATTACTCTAGCCTCTAGTCCTGTTATTTAGAAAATTTATTATGAAAACTGGCCAGGGTAACATCAAAATATTAGTAGATACACCCCTGCCCCTGGCTGCCTAAATTGTCCCTCATCCTCTATCTATCTCTGCCTCTCCCCTTCAAATCGGCACATAGATTCACTGCCAGGGAACGGAAGGTGTGGCAGGCAGCATTCATAGATGCCCCAAACCTAAGCCCATGGAGTGCATATCCCTGTTCCAATTATGCAGGTAAAGAGATTTTGTGGATCATTACATCTTTAAAAATAGGAAGATTCTCTGTGTGGGCCTGACCTCTTCACATGAGCTCTGTGAAACAGAATTCTCTGTGTCCACAGAAGAGGACATCAGAGAAATATGCTCTGGCTGCCAGAAAGGCAGCCAACATTCACACTGTGTACCGTCCACGCGGGCCACATAGCACGAACTGAAGTGGCACCTGTCAGTTACACTGGTCCTTGAGTGGCACTAGGAGCCCCGGGACCCCAGGGATACCACAGCAAAGAAACGAAAGAAAAGCAAAACAGGCAAGGAGGACGAGATGACGAGACGCTGAGTTCCAGACAGGAGCCCCAGCTGCAGCCAACATCTCTATTTCAGGCTGGTAGAATTTGAATAGAGAATCCACCCATGCTAGGCCTGGACTTTAATATATGCAGGAACATTAGCACGATCCACTTGTGTTGTTTTAAGCTGCTATATTTTCTGGTCATTTGTTATGTAGCATAGAAAATGAACACTGAAGGTTCCAAGTCTAAAGAGAGGAAAAGCAATATTAATTCTTTGCTCTTGAGCTCACAGAAGCTTGTCAACAGTTGTTTAGGGAAATACTTTTTGTGTGTGTTAATTTGTATGTGTGCATGCACAAATGTTCACATGTCTACAGGCACACTTGTATGTGCAAGTTCATGTGCATGTCTGTGGATGTGGATGTGGAGGCCGGAGGCCAACCTTGGTTATTGCTCCAGACACTGTCCACCTCTGGCCAAGAACTCACGAGTAGGCTGGCTAACCAGTAAGCAGTGTCTGTTTCCACAGCAATGGGATTGATAATGTTCACTGCCATACCTGACTTCCTGACTCCTCCCTCCCTCCTTTCCTTCCATCCTTTCTTTTTCAGTTTTGGGGCCCGCACTCAGGTTCTCATGCTTTCAAGGAATGTACTTTATCAACTAAACTGTCTCTGCAACCTGGGAAATACTTTCTTGTTTTCTGATCCAGTTTCATTCCCAGTCAGAGAGAGCGGAGGAAGAGAGGGAGACAGAGAGATAAGGGGATTCAAAATCAAAACCCCAAACCAAATAAACCAAAATGGCTTCAGTGGCTGGAAAGGAGATCCCAACAGCAGCAGGGGCACAGCTACTGCCATCCAGAGAGTTCAGGGAAGCCAGGGTCCCACAGGGAGGGGAGAAGCGGAGGACCATCCTGGCTTGAGGGACTTCGCTGTGAAGGAACTCGTGACTTCCTCCAAGGGTCTGGGATTTGTGGAGGTGCTGCCGCAGTCATACAATGGCCGTTATTAGTGGAAAACTTGTAGGGACTTTGCATGCATGCCCAGCAAAAGCTGCAAGAACCCAAGAAAACATGCTGCTTGCCACTAGAAGCCAGATTACCAGGGTGGGGCTGAAGACTGCCAGCCAGGTGCACTAACTCAGAGGAACTAGATTAATTCACCACTTGGGGAAATGGAATCCATAGAAAAAATGTGAAGTTTCACATTGTCTACTCGAGTCTGTGACTATGAGAACTCATGGTTACAAATCATTCTGGCTTTTCCAGGCAAGAAAGGAATAGCAAAAAGGAGCCCAGTCCCAAAACTCGGGCGACAGCGCTGTTTTCACTGTTGATTGAGTCAAGCCAGACGGCCCACCACTTCGAGTTTCAGGGTCTTCATGTGTCCAGTGACAGGTTGAGATGAAATAATTCCCAAGTTTTCCTGCTAGTGAATGGAACAAGGAAGGTGTGTGTGTGTGTGTGTGTGTGTCTGTGTGTGTGTGTGTGTGTGTGTGTCTGTGTGTGTGTGTGTCTGTGTGTGTGTGTCTGTGTGTGTCTGTGTCTGTGTCTGTGTCTGTGTTCCTGTACGTGCAAGATTTATGAGATCTTGAAGCTTGAGTTACGGGCCATTGTGAACTGCCTGGCATGGATGCTAGGAACTAAACTTGAGTCCTTTTCAAGAGTCCAGTGCTCTCAACCATTGAGCCATCTCTCCAGCCCTGGGAAGATTTCTTTAAGGTCTTACTATTCAGAGTCTGAAATCCTTTAATCTGGTGACTCAACAGGAATCAGGGAGTGTTTGCTCTCTGGCAGCGTGAGTGCTGTAAAGTAAACAAGTGACAGATGGGACTGAACTCTACAAGTCCTTAAGCACCTACCTCACCGAGAGAGAATAGAGTCCGGCCTGCTCATGGCTGTCTCTTAGCAGGTAGCTCCCATCACGTCCATTGGAGAGGAGGAGAGCCTCAGCTGCATGGCGTGTGAGGTTGCCATGATACCACCTAGGAAGAACAGAAGAGCACTTTCCTTCGGGATGAGCCACGAGCAACCCTTCTCTGGAGTTTCCTCTCAGAGATTAAGTAGCAATCTTTTCCATCTTAAGGATGCCAGAGACCCAGCTCTCGGTCCCAGCATGAAGACAAGGAAGCCCCTGGATGAGTGTGAGGGATGGAAGTGGTCCTTAGCAGTGTGATAGAGGCTGGTTATGTTCTGACAGCTCCCACCTCATCCTAACCTCCAGTTCTTAAGAATGTGACCGACCCTATTGGGAGAGAAGTGAAAATGGAGCAAGTCAGATGGGCTCGGTCCAGTGTGGCTGGAACCCTCCTGTAAAAAGGAGAGCTGGAGGAGAGATTCCCATACGGGAAGGAGAATGCTGTGTGACCAGGAAGGAGCCAGCCTCAGTTTTGAACTTCTAGCCCTCAACGCTGTGAAGCAGACGATTACTCTTTGCCAAACCAGCCATTGTAAGGGAGCCCAGCAAACCAATAGTGTTGTTTAAAAAGCCCAAGCTAAAATAGCCGTAACAGAGGCCCAAGAGATGGCCCCGTGGTTAAGTGCTTGCCACACAAGCACGCGGACCAGAGTTTGTCTGTAATTATGGCCTGGGAAGACAGAGTGAGGGGATCTCCAGAGCAAGTTTGCTCACAAGACTAGCCATACCCACAAGCTCTGGGGTTGATTGAGAGACGCTGCCTCAAACGGGTAAGGCGGAGGAGCTATGGAGAATGACTCCCAACATCAAGTAGGCCTCCGTATTCCCATGTACTCCTCCCCAACATAAACCTGTGTCCACACACATGTAGGCATGCGTACACACACACAAACGTGACCATGGAAAAAGAAGTACAAATAAAAGACCAGCCACAGGAGCATTGGCCAGTTTCCCTTCCTTCTGTCCTCTGTCACTCTTTCCCAAGTGCAGGACAGTTTCACCGGGAGAAACCAAACAGCCCTACCGTCCATGGTCATGAGAAAAATGAAGCTGGCCACGAAGAACCCTGGTGTTTCAAAGTGAGCATTGGCCTGTCAAGTCAAACACTGCTTCAAGTTGACGAATATCTGAGGAGCTGGGAAAGTCCCAAGAGGATTCAGATTCATCTTTTCATGTGCTTGTGTTTTTAATTGATCTTTGTGGTTTAAAAAAGGTAATTCGTGTATGTAGTTGAAAGAAGACAGTAAGAAAAACAAAGCCCTTTTCTTATCCTTGAGCCTCAGTTTCCCTGTTTCTTTCTTCTGGAGACAGTTTACCACATCACTGTGTCTCCTCAGAGATAGCCTATGATGTTAGCTAGCATTCGATTCTGGCCCTCAATCACCATTCCCTAATCTACAGGGATAAGAACACTCTGGACCATGGCTCTGCACCTTGGACCTTTCTCCTATCCACTGGTCCTTCACTTGGTCTTTAAGTATGTCCTGTGGCCGTGCAGTGTGGTAACGGGTGGAGTCACGTTGCCTGGATCCCAAACGAAGCAAGACCTTGGGCAATTGGTTTCCCCAGTGTGAACCTCAGCTCTGTTATATCCAAAGCCAGAGTAACAATAGCTGTGCATCACAGGCCAGCCATGAGAACTGCTCACATTAACACCGTGAAATGCAGCAGTACTCAGTAGGTTAGTCACGGTCAAAAAGCAGTGAGATTCACTCGGCTATACCTAGCACATGCTCCGCTGTGGTATACTTTCCATATTCTAATTTGTAGCATTTCTTTTAACTTCAGATAACAGAAAGCAAGGTACTAGAAGCAGATGCTAACTGCAGGGACCTCCAGATCCCAGGGTGCTGGAGATGGTGAGGCAGAGATGGCCAGTCATTCAGATAATGCCGCATGCTGAGATAAATAGTGTTAAGGAGGCATCTGAAGGAACATCTTTTTGTCAACAGCACAGGCATCCGTTGTGATGTGGCTGTGGCATGAAGTGTCAGCCTGATCAGTAAAGAGCAGATGTGAGATTGTGGAAGGAAGTTGCTATGTACATCTCCCAGTCACTGAAAGCGCCTGGAATGTATTCCGTTCTCTGTCCATCACCTTCAACTTCTCTTTCTATCACAGGCTCTTGTTTCCTTTGTCACCCAGAGCCCTCATCTCCTCGGAGTACCTTTTAAGTTTTGCATTTTGAGTTCCATCTAAAAGCTAAGTCCCGATGCGCCAAACGGAGCAGCACCGTGTTTGCCTGGTCTTGCTGTGGGTCACACACAAGGTGGCCCGCGCTTGCTCCGGTCTCTTCAGACTTGCATGAGGGAGCTCACACAGAGCCTGCTGTGGAAAATAGCTCCCCATTGTCATTTTTCTCTGCGAAACCTAATACTTTTAGAATGAAGTGCAGTAAGAAACCAGATGTTAGGAGAAAACACAAACTAATGAGCATCCATCTTGGACCCAAGCATGTGGGGAGCAGAGCGAGCATGCTGTGAGAAGACACCGTGCTTTCACTGGAATTTCTTCCTCAGTGGCTCCAGCTGCTCCAGCTGCTTTAGTTTAGGAACTGTGTGGTCACCTGCCAGTAGAAACTTCAGGTTGTCACGTGTCAAGATGGTGAGTCACAACACCCAGAGAGAAAAACCTTCTTTTCATATATTGAGATGTTATCTTCTGATACACATTTTTTCCCCAATTCCTCAACTTTTGCAAAAGTGAATGAGCCACAAGCTTTACTAAATTATATATCACTAATAGGCCTGACATTCTCCTAACCGCTGGTCGTATAAGCCTATGCAGTTTAGAATAAGGCTTATTTTCCTACTTCAAGTCTTGGTCTTACTTTCTCTAAAGAAACAAGGTCAAGAAGCTACCATTGGCCACAGTGTTTTAGAAGCAATGTGTGCCTTTTATCCCTACAACTTATACATTTTCATAGTTGTGTCTCAAGGTCAATGGCATGAACAGAGCATAGACGAATCAGACTTGAACAGCACATTCGCACTGGGGTTGTAAGAATATCAGAGCTGGCAGTTGACCTTGAAGGAAACAGCGGTGTTATCTCTTCCATGAGACAGTAGCAAATTAGGAAACACCCACTCACTAAATAGTTTTCATAGCTGCCTCTCAGCGAGGTGCAGGAAATAAACGCAACCACAGAGAACACAGGCAGGCTGGATCCAGAAAGTTCATCTTCAATTCAGCCCCTCCTGCCTTCATCCCTGAGCCTTTTCAGGCTAGAACCTTCTAGGAGACTGCTCCAGCGTGCTGAAAACACCAAGGTGTTTTGTCCCTTGGATTTTATTATTTCAATTTGTGGGCCTAAGTTTATGTCTCATTTATGCTCTGTCTTTGAAGAACAGGATTTAAAACTTTTGAAATAACACATGGTATGTATCATTGCATGTACACACACACACACACACACACACACACACACACACACACACACACACACACACATATGTTAAAGCACACCCAAGCCAGGTGGTGTGAGGCAGGCAGGTCTCTGTGAGTTCAAGGACAGCCTGGTCTACAGAGTGAGTTCTAGGACAGCCAAGGCTACACAATGAAACCCTTTTTTAAAAACCTATAAAATAAAGCACACCCCAAAAGGAAATTTTACAAGAAAAAAAATTTATCCTTCTATATGCTATTTACTTCAATATTTTTTATATTTATTTTGAACAAATATTTCTCTAAACCACTAAATTCACTACCAGACCACTAATGAGTTGTTTGGAAATCAGTACAGAGCCTTGCTACTCAAAATATGGGCTAACCAAATCTTCACCCCCTGAGATCTTTCTAAAAATATATAAAAATCTTGTTCCTCAGGCCCCTGACCTGTTGAGGTTCAAGTGATTTGTACTGAGAACTTGAGAAACATGAATGTGAAAGCCCTTTGATCCTAAGAAGTTTCATTCACTTTTGGAGCCCTAATGGCTTGCGTTTGATGTTTGGCATCAGGAGAAAAGAGAAAGGCAAAGTACTACATGGGTTTCAATAAGAAAAGTCAAGAAGGATCTACAGGTTAGCACAGTCCGAAATCCCACACGGCTGATGTCTTAATGTTGTATGGTACTGGATCTCATGGAAAGTAGGAAAGATCCAGGGAAGATGATCGTGGTCTGGGCTTAAGAACGGATATCTGCTCTATTTGGTGGTAAGAGAAAGGACATCTCAAGAGGAAAGCACTCAAGCAAAGACATTGGGGTCCGTTTATGTCTGGCACATATGGACAGCAGAACGCCTAGCTGAAGCACAGGGTCTGGGTTGGGGAGGAATGCAAAATAGTGTTAGAAAAACTGCTGGTTTGCATACTCATTTAAGGTATATATTTTCCCTTTTCCTTCCTCCCACCTCCCTTCCTGGCAATACTGGGGTTTGAACCCAGAGCCTTGTACATGTTAGGTAAGTATTCTACTACTAAACACCCTCAGCCCTAGAGTATTGCTTTCTTGGTGAGAAAATTTCTTATCAACCCATGCTTATGGATTATTAATATATTTAGTCACATCCTGCCTTCCTGGCAAACAGCAGTGCCCTGGAACTTGGATTCTGTCTAGAGTTATAAAGGGACACACATTTGAACCAAAAGCAGGGATAGAAAACCCTGTTTATAGGAAGGTAGATAAAAGGCTCTGGAGTTGAACAGCTAGCATAAGTACTCAACAATTTTCTTTCTTCTGTTTCAAAATTGTTTCCACTCTTGAACGACAGTGACACCCACTGAGGTCCTGAGACCCCAAACAACAAATGTGTAATGTTGTACCACTCTCCTTCTCTAAAGCCAAGGCACAGATCTGTGGTGGAACCCACAGTTGGGCTTCACATTGCCTGTGAATGTGAAATCATGAGAGGCCTCCAGGGGGCTTTCCCAATCCAAGCTGTCTTCACTTGGGTTGATCTGACCTTTGCTCCTGAGTTGCCCCATTGAATCGCTTGGGCGTTGATTTCATTTGTGTTCATTTGTACATAGAGTCAGTGCTGGACGCTTCAACCATATGAAAGGCCAAGCTCTTGGCCGCTCTCTGTCATCAGAAAGTGTCAGCGCAGGATAAAGACGTCTCTTATTTA